AAGTCTTTTGCCACCCCTGAGTCTCTGGCCTGTACCCCAGTTCTGTATGCACAAATAAATAAATCTTTTTTAAAAAAATGGTAATGCCTGTTGTTGACAGGAACTCCTTTACCTCCCTTAAATTTGATACACATCTGATAACAAAAGTGTTAAAATGCCATCAGTTAATACCTAACAAATAGCTCATTCCAACTAGGATTTCCATTTTAACTTGTACATAGATACTTAAAATGAAAAGAAGTTTTTATGGTTCAGGATAGAAGACTCACCTAAGCCAGAAGAACTATAAGGAAGATTTCCCCAGTTCCTCTCTTAAATTAGAATATTAAGCCCATGAATACAGGTTTCCATGATTTCCATTTCCCATTGAGTGGGTTTACATTTATTTGTTATTTTTAATTTCTTTCAGCAGTGTTTTATAGTTTTCATGGTACAAATCTTTCATCTTTTGATTAAGTTCAGGCTCACATACTTTATTCTCTTGATGTTATTACAAGTGAGGTTATTTTTGTAATACCATTTTCAGATTTTATGCAGAATTGCAACTGATTTTTGTATTTTGACTTTGTGTCCTGCTTTGCTGAAGTCATGTGTTCTAACAGTTTTTTTATGGAGACTTTGAGGTTTTATTACATGTAAGATCATACCATCTTCAGAAATTATTTTCCCTCTTCTTTTTCAATTTACATGCTTTTCATTTCTTTTTCTTATGTAATTGTTCTGTGACTCCAGTGCTGTGTTAAATAAAAGTGGTGAAATTGAGCAAAATTAACCAGTTTGCCATTCAAAATTTCCCCTAGAAGTTGTAAACATTTCACAGATTCTAGTGTTCCAGGCTAGTTACTTCAGACAGATTCTGTCTGTGCAATTGTTGTCTTGGTGGGGACAGATTGTAGTATGTCCTACTCCACTATGTTCCCAGAATCTGACACTTTTAATAATAAAAAAATTTCATTAAAATATTGACATGGCCTAGAGGTTAAGTCTTGGCACTACCACCACAAATGCCTGAGTTTGTTCCTGGCCAGGGTGCTAACCCACATAGCTCATCAGAACTCTGCTGTCTGCCCCACTGTTCGATTCAGCAATATATTTCAGTCAGTCTACCTGTTCTGCTCCCCACTCTTGTCTCTGGTGAATCCTCTCACCCACCCAACCCTCTGGCATGTACAACCCAGTTCTTCTGTGTAAAACTAAAAACATGTTTTAAAAATAAAATATAGCTATGACTTTAAAATTGAAGCCTGTTTCTCTTGGATTATAGGTACTAAACCATAAAGAGACACTTTTCATATAGTTAAATAATATTGAGAGTTGGCTGCTTACAAAAACTATGATTTGAATTGAATTCATTTTGCTTTTCAGGGCTTCTTCATACTTAATAGATTTCCTTATTTTACAGAAATACCGGTATCAGGATGAAGATACACCTCCTCAAGAGCACATTTCTCCACAAATTACTAATGAGGTGATAGGTCCAGAATTGGTTCATGTCTCTGAGAAGAATCTGTCAGAAATTGAGAATGTACATGGATTTGTTTCTCATTCTCATATTTCACCAATAAAGGTAAGATACTAATTTTGTTGCTATGAATTATACTTTTGTTACTAACGTAGCTCATGTTCAGAGACAACTGTTCTTTAGTTTAAGATCCCCCCCTTCTTTTAGTTTCATAGTTACAAGGAAGTACATAATATTTATTAGCATTTTAAAACTTTTTAAAAGATATATTGTAGTACTAAAGTTTATTCAGTTATGCTATTCATAAACCTAAAAATTCCCATAAATGAAATAGCTATTATATTTCTAATACCACATATTTACATGTTTTTAAATGCTTGTCATAAGCATTAGTAGATACAGAAAAAGAACATTATCTTTGAAGTCCAGTGTGTGGCTTTCCCTTATCCCATCTCCATGCCTTTCCCTTCAGAAATAACTGCAAACCTGAATTCTATTGATTATTTATACTTTCCTATAAAGCTCCACCACATTTAGATCTCTAATTAATGTTTGTTTTGCCTATGTTGAACTTTGTGTCAGTAGACTTATGCTATATAAAATATCAACCCTGCATTTTTTTCTCAATATTTTATTCCTGAGATTCATAGTATTTACTGCTCTAATGTATTCTGGTTTGTAAATTCATAAAGGATATAATTTGTTATTTTTGTTGAAAATTAAGTTATTTTAGGTTTCTGCTAGTATAAAAAATTTCATTACAAGTATAGGTTTTATATATACATATACACACACACACACATTTTTGTAAATACCTTGCCAGATTATTTTCCAAGTGGTTGTATAATTTACATTTTCAGTAACAATACATGTAACAATTTTAATTGACCCATGTTCTCATCAGTACTTAATATTCATATTTTTGCTACTCTTTCAGGTTTGAAGTAGTAGCTCATGATTTTAGTGTACATTTCCCTGTTTAATAATGAGGTTGGTTAATTTATTGATCATACAGGTCTCCCATTCTGGGACCATCCCTCTAAAGATGTTTGCCTTTGTTTTATCTTTTACTGATTTGTATAAGTTCTTTATGTATTATGGATACTTATCTTCTGTTGGTGTATGTATTGTGAACAGGGATTTTTTTATTATTATTATTTAAAGATTTATTTATTTGTGCATACAGAACGGATGTAGGCCAGAGGTGCAGGGGTGGTGAAAGGCTTCGCTAGAGCCAGAGTGTAGAGAACAGGCAAATCAACAAAGTACACTGCTGAGGGGAGCAGTGCGGGCCCAGAGAGGCATGCAGTGCCGTGTGGATCACTCTCCAGGGGAGGCGGGATAGATCCTCATGCAGAGTAGCTTTAGCTTCTTAGAGCTGTGCTTTACCCGTTGAGCCACCAGGGAGGACCCAAACAGGGATTATTTTTTACTAGTAAGAAACATAGCTAAGGTTTTGTAATCCTTTTTGAGAAATGATTTTATACTAGTCTAAAATTTTTTTTTAAGATTTATTTATTTATTCATATAGAACTGGGGTACAGGCCAGAGATGTGGAGGGTGAGAGGATTCACCAGAGACAGAGTGGGGAGCAGAACAGGCAGATGGATGAGGTACACTGCTGAGGGGAGCAGCAGGCGGGTCAGGAGAGGTCTGCCACACCATGTGGATCTCCTCTGGGGCAGGCGGGAATCGAACTCATGCTCAAGTGGCTTTAGCTTCTTAGTGCCCGCTGCGCCACCAGGGAGGGCCCATACTAGTCTAAAATTTTTTTTTTTTAAAGATTTATTTATTTGTACATACAGAACTGGGGTACAGGCCAGAAGCTCAGGGGCGGCGAGAGGCTTCACCAGAGACAGAGTGGGGAACAGAACAGGCAGATCGATTAAGTACACTGCTGAGGGGAGCAGCGGGCGGGTCAGGAGAGTTCTGCCACGCCATGTGGTCACCTCCAGGGCAGGCGGGAATCAAACTCATGCGGAAGCGGTTTTAGATTCTCAGTGCTGTGCTTTAACCCGCTGCGCCACCAGGGAGGGCCCTAGTCTAAAATTTTAATGTGTATAATACCTTTCAGATTTTCTGTTTCCTCTGTGAGCATGCCCATTTTAGACTTATTTTCAAAATATTGTTCTTAATAGCCTTTTCTTTAAAAAAAAAAAAATATATATATATATATACACACACACACACACATACAGTATGTTTACTGTAGTTCCTGTTTCTTTCTTAATAGTGTATTTAGAGTTTTCATTTCTTGATCATTCTTGCCAGAGGGTGGCAAGATAGTCTTTTTGTACAAGATAGTCTTTTTGTACAAGGCAGGGAGCTAGGCATCCCAGAAACCCAAACCTGTCCACTCTAAATAGGTTCTGCCATCCAGCACATCAAGATAAAACATTTAAGAACTTTAATGAAAAGGAACTGTAATACAATTAATAAACAATATAGAAAAGACAAAGAATATAATTACTAAATTACCCTCATGGGTAAGAGTCCACCCAAATGGGATTGGCCCAAAGCAAGGCCTGAAAGCCCACCACAAGCCTAAAGCACCTTTGAGCAGGAATCCATAGGAAAGGGTCAACCAGAAATGGCCAGACAAGTCTGGGGGGGAAAGAGCAAATCAAAATCAAATGCTGTAACCTCCCACAGGTCTCTCACCCGCATCTGTTTCACCCAGTCCAGAACCAAGGAATAAGAGCTTGCTTCTTCACCTCACTCTCTGTTCCACATGCCTCCCTGAGGTCTACTCTTCATCCTGCTTCCTTCTCTAGTCTCCTCTCTAGTTTTCTTTTCTTCCCTGCTCAGCTCTACCTTCCTTTGGGGGGAGCAGGGAACCTGGAACCTCTTCTTTTCCTGGGACCACCCTGTTACCTTTTCAGAAAACAATCTCTTTTCTAAAAACTCATCTCTATTCCTTCCTCTTGAGCTGCCATCCTCAACCCGTATTTCCATACATACACACATATGAATATAAACATTTTCGTGGACATACGTTATATGAATATGTGGATAGCCTACATGTCAAGGATTGTGTCTGATCCTTCCTTGGAAGACTAATTTAGAGATTCAGTTGGCTAATTTTATTCTTTTTTTTTTTTAAGATTTATTTATTCATAAAGAACTGAGGTACAGGCCAGAGGCGCAGATGTGATGAGAGGATTAACCAGAGAAGAGTGGGGAGCAGGACAGGCAGATCGATGAAGTACACTACTGAGGGGAGCAGTGGGCGGGTCAGGAGAGGTCTGCCATGCCATGTGGCCACCTCCAGGCCAGGGATCAAGTTCACACTGAAGCACTTGCAGCCAGCTTGCAGTGCTGCATCCTAACCTGTTGCACCACCTGAAAGGGCCACCATAAAGTATTTAGAGATGTGTTTCTAAATTTTGAACAAGGGCAACTTTTGTTACTTGCATGTCTTCTTTCGGATTCTGTTTTCTCATTTTTCCTTCTTATTAGCTTGGAAGTTACTTATTTTGTTTTCCTTTCATTGTTATCCTGGAAATTTTAATATGTATGTTTCACTTATAAAAACATAGACAATAAATATCTTCTCTCTTCATCCTAAACAACATAAGAACACTTAACTCCTTACATTCTAAGCACTCTCCTGCTTTATATGCTGTTCTTGTTAACCTACCTGTGCCCTTTTTCTCATCACTAAGTTAATTTTTCATTTCTTTAGTCCCCAAATCTTCCTTGTGTATAAGTATAATTTTTTTTTCTGATGTTTTGATTTTTTTTATCATTTTGATTGTTGTAAATTATCCAGCCCTAGTTGCACAATGTGCCCAGCTCCTCAGGCTTTTGTTAGGTGTTTTGTTAGTTACTTTTTTTTATGCAGATTCTGATACAAACACAGATTTAAACAATGAGTCAGCATTGTATAAAGTATTTCATATTGCCTCTCCTTTAAAAATGACGAAATCCCATTTTGAAGAATAAAATGTTTAAGCAAATGAAACAATACTGTAAGACAAGATATTGTTCTCCCAAATTTCCAGACACCTTACAGACTTAAATCTTAGGTGGCAGGCCTGAGGAAACGGGCTGTTAAGAGTCTTTAATTTCCCTTATGCAAGCATGTATTGATTTGTTTCTAAATTAATTTAGTCATTCAATCCATGTAACTGAAATGTGATTGATTTTCCTAGTAAAAGCCCATTTCCTTCAATATAACAATTGGAAACCTTTTTTTTTTTTAAGATTTATTTATTTGTGCATACAGAACTGGGGTATAGGCCAGAGGCTCAGGGGCGGCGAGAGGCTTCACCAGAGACAGAGTGGGGAACAGAACAGGCAGAGCAAGGAAGTACACTGCTGAGGGGAGCAGTGGGCGGGTCAGGAGAGGTCTGCCACGCCATGTGGTCACCTCCAGGGCAGGCGGGGATCGAACTCATGCGGAAGTAGCTTTAGCTTCTTAGTGCTGTGCTTTAACCCGCTGTCCCACCAGGGAGGGCCACAATTGGAAACCTTTAAGCATTAATCAAAGATTAATCGAACCAAAACATATAGCAGTCATCTCCAAATATGACCTTTCTGGTTGAATGCTAGCTGATCAGTATGTGACTCATAATTAGGACAAAAGACTGCCCATTTAGTAAAGATTTTCAACTGTGACTAGACATTGGAATCACCTGAGGATTAAAAATTAATGTCTGAGTCAGCCTCAGAGATTCTCATTTAATTGGTCTGGACTACCACCTAGACTTTGGATGTTTCTAGTGTAAGCCATAGCTAAGAAGCACTGCACTAGAATCTAGCTTAGTGAAACATATATACACCTGTGTTGAGGTCTTTATAAATAAATTTTTGATAGCCTCTTGTTGGGGGAAAGGATGTCCTAAATGAACTCCATAAACACAGGGTTTATGGACTCCACCTCCAACTCAGACTAAAGAGATCTGAGGCACCAAGGACTACAGATCCCATATGTTATCACTACTGAAGGGAGGATTGCTGAAATAAGAGTGGAGTTAAGCAGCCAGGTTTGGTATGTAACCAGACATGTGAACCTTGGGGGTGCTCGGTTTTTCACCAGCCTGTAGCATGCTTTTGGGATCCCAGCTCAGCGGAACTGGTAGGACAATTTCATCAATTTATCT